AAATCATTGTTCTACTTAAAACTGCCCAAGGATGCACTCCAAAGATAGGCGAGAGCTACTAAGAGGGGATTATCATGCTCTGCTCCTACGTATAAGCCTTTCTCTCCTTGGGCTATTGATGAAATGGGTTTTGCGCAGAAAAATTGTAGTGCACCACATCAGTAAGAATTTTAGCATTTGTTAAACCTGAAATGTACATGTCCCCCCTTGTGCATTGAGGTTTTTTTTTTGTTTTTTTTTTAAATTCTTTTGTTGGCTGCGGTCTTCCTTCCTGGGCAACATCTAAAGTACATCAAGGTTTACTGGTTTCCAAAGTCCAAGAAAGATTCTTATACAAGTGTTGGGATCACCTCCCAACCTCCAAAAAGAAGGAATTCAAAACCAAACTGAACAAAAAACTGGTGTGGGGGGGGAGTTTTTCATATTCAGGATTCCATTTATTAATTTAAGAAAGTTCAGAAGCATGCCGAAAACAATGTTAAGAACCAGTTTCCTTTTTATTTTTTTCTCAAATATGATTACACACATTCATGTGTCTACTACGGTAAAATTCTGCACTGTTACATTAAAGATACAGTACGGTAACATTCGATTTGAGGTACTTGGAATTTATAAATGTCCTTCATAAATAATGCCATCGGTTGCTATAGTCAAACACTGTTCCAAACACAGCTAGATTCAATTGTGTCTGAAATAACGGAGTTTAAATTTTTCATTTTTAGAAAGAAAAAAACCACCAGTGTAATAGGTACTGTAGAAATTAGAATGTATTTGTTTAAATAATATGCAGATCAGCTCAAAATATATTACACTAGAAATCCAGTAAAAACTTTCTTTCCCCTTTCAGTTCAGCTTGCAAGATGATATTCGGAATAATTTCAATATTGCCTGTAATATATTTTCTTTTGATCTCTGGCTCTTTATAGATACATTGGATGGCTCCAGAAGACTAAACCAATATACAGGCAGTCCATGGTTTACAACCATTTGTTTAATGATTATTTAAAGTTACAACAGCACTGAAAAAAGTGACTTATAATCGGTCCCAGTACTTCTGAACCGTTGCGCCCCCGTCGTCACATGACCATAATTCAGGCACTTGGCAACCAGCATGCATTTAAAAGTGCATTGTCCCAGGGTCATGTGATTCCCATTTGTGGCCTTACCAGGAGCTTCCAACAAGCAAAGTCAATGGGGGAAGCCAAATTTGCTTAATGGCTCCGTGATGCACTTAATAATCGTAATTCGCTTAACAAACATGGCAAAAAAAATAAATCATAAAATTGGCATTACTTAATTTGACAACCATATTGCTTAAGGACAGAAGTTCCAGCCCTGATTGTAAGTCGAAGACTACTTGTATTATAAATATATTATCCCAACAATTTAGGATATGAACTTTCTATTAAGGGGCAAAGCTTGGGGACAATTCTGTAAATCTGCCAAGTTATTTCTGTAGTACAGTTTGATGCTGCAAATCTTCTCATTCTGTCCACAATCTACGTAAGGTAACATAATTTGAGTTTACTGAATCCAATTTAGCTTGGATATTAACAGAGTATAGGGTCAAAGTTAATATGCCTGATCCACTGCTGCCAGCAAAACATTGAAGCATATTAAGGACCATCCAGTTCAATTTAAAAAAAAAAACTCTTTCCAGTTCAGAAACGTATCCTGCATTCAGAATACTAAATTGAGTGAAGTATAGGTAACTACATTTGTTTTATTCTATTTGGCAAGGAAAATGTAAGTACTCAAAGCTCTTTCCAAGTTGCTCCCTTGGGAGAAAAAGAGACCAAAGGCTAGATAAATACAGTCCTAAAACTCATATATCACCTACCTAATACCATTGCTATTTATGTATAACTGAATCAATTTATGAATTATAAATTTCACTGTATATCTATAGAACAAAATTTGAAAGTTTCTTCATTTGTAACATGCAAAGAAAATGTTGGCTTCCATCTTTTTTTTTTAATGTGTTCAAGAGCCAATACACACATACACACACACACAAAGCTCATTCCAGGTAGCTTTTTCCTGATCAATATATTAGTACTCAGACTTTTCATTCTGATTGGACAGTAGTCATTTATCTTAACAGCCTCCCAAAGGAGATCTGCTTGCCCCTATTATGCCTTGCTATTAGACTGGTAGTGAAGTCAATTTTTATTCCAAGCTTTTACAAAATACCTCTTTAAAGCTGTCTTTAACTGCAGCTACCATCTTTTAGTTCTTTAGTTCTCTCTGATTTTCTCAATATTTTCTAATATTTAATATATGCTCTTTTAGAGTTTAGAAAGGCAAGTTATGTATATGAAAACAATGAATTAACATTAGGAGTCGTTCCAGATTCAACTGAAAGGCATTAAAACTGCAAAAACTCACATAATACACACTATATAGTTGACTGCTTAAGGCTGCAGCTCAGCACACTTACCAAGGAATTATTCCTAGGGAAGCCAGCAAAATTGATGCCTGAACAAACCTATGTAGGATCGCACACGGGGGCAATGAACGTGAGAAAAAAAAATGCAAATATTCAGTGGTATAGGTGTAATCATACACTACTGCAGAGATTTCTTATCTTGTTCAATGATCTTCTTGTGAAATTCATTAATGTTTTTAGTTGTCATAGTGGTACAGAAAAAGTATAACTATCTTCCCTGGATATCGCCCCTGAAAATAAGCCATTTCAAAACAACAAGCAGAACGAGAATTGTAAATCAAATTTAATACATTTAAAACTCTGAACCTATCTCATTTTTTCCCCATTTGGGCTACTACAACTTAACTATCTTACTTGGAGATCTGCCTACTGCTCCCTCTATTTCTCAGGAGTAATTAATTGATTTTACTGCAAAGTAGGACATGCCCATGGCTACCATTTTTGACATATGGTGATACGTGCTGATTTCACTGGCATTGCGTTTGTGGAAAAGAGGAAACAATGCACTGAAATGCAGTGAAGAACTTGAAGATAATTTAGGATTGCACTACTAGTATATGAGAACTATTTATAGAGGTACGTTAAAAATTTGCCCATATTTATTCTGGCAAACGGCCAACTTGTAACCAATTATGGGAAAAAGCAAAGAAGGAAAAAATCAATACATGTTTCTGTGGCCCTCTAAAAAAAGGTAGCTGAGCAATCTAGTGTCAAAGACAATTCATTTCTGTCTTCAGGAATGATCACAATTATACTAATTCCAGTTTCATTGTTCATTATCCACAAATATTTCCCATAAATACCACATATTTTTTGGAATAAAACTGAGACCTTTCACACACCATGTGCTTCAGTGGGGTAAAGCTAAAAGTAGCAGTGTACATCTGCCATCTAGAGGCCGAAAGGGCACAGGGCAACTGATGTGACCTAACTCTGGAAACTGGATTTATTTCATCTTAAGGTCTTCCTTAAATCACGCCATTCACATGTTTTTATTTGGCATATCTCAAACATGTAAAATTAATTGGGTTAAGAAAAAAAATTACCTAAGAGAGGAGTATTTCCTCCCAAACAAATTATACAGATGCTTTTACCTAGCACTTCCTGCAAGGACCTCAGGCAATATGTATGGTCTACCCAACTATCACGTTGACGTTATGATGAAAGTTAAGACTGAGACTAGCTTTTTCCATAAGACATCAGGAATACGGAGCAAATCCTATGATTGAAAAAACCTTTGACCTTTGACCTCTGCTCTCTTAGTTTAAATCCAGTATTTGAATACTTAAAAGTTGTGAGAATGTAATCATTTACATTTCTTTGAAACGCAACTCCATACCTCTGAGAAATGTAAATAAATGTTTTTTAAATAATATTACTTGTGATGATAAAAGTATACTGTAAAAGACACAGAAGTGGCATGTGCTCTTAAGGACAGCTTCTGTTTTGTGAGTATGTTTTTTATATGCTGCACTGCTGAGACAACTGTTACTGTTAAATTTTCTCATGTTCAAATATTATTTGGGGCACCACAGATATTTAATGAAACCGGAAATCAGGATTTCAAGTCCCAAAAATATTTACAGAGGTATTCTGCAATGGTTATGCTGTCTGAGAATTTTGGAAATTGTAGTCTGAATTCAACAAGAAGCCACAAATTGGGAAAAGCTGATATAGATTGGAGATTGGAAGCACCCACAAGGATATTTGGTGGCCTGGGGCAGGAGGACGAAAGCAGTGTTGAATCATCATGATGGAAGCCCCACACGTTGTTACTATACCAAGTAGAGCTTGCAATGTGACAGTGTTATTTTACTGAAAACTTCAGATTCTCTAGATGCCTCAGGTAGAAATTTTAAAGCCACTATTCTAACAGCTAGGACAGTAAAATGTACACTGAAGTACACTGTAGTGGGATGCACTTATATTTGCTTCATTTAAAAAAAACGTTTTGCAAACAGAAAACTGGGAAAATCTATTTCAGACTAATACTTAAATTATTTTTTAGACCGAAACGCATAGGGGTTGCTTTTTTGAGGCAGTGCCTTTTATTTCACAAACATGGTATTGACCTATACTCTTTTTTAAAAACTACCTACCTACCAACCTGAACATTTTCCTGTTAGAAATGCAGATAGTCCAACCAATTTAAAAAAATCTGGAAAAAGAAAGGTTGACTGACAATTGAAAAATCTCCAAAAGTTAAATAAGAAACATTTAAATCACAAATACCCCAGATTCTGCAGGGTTCCCAGTTCCGGGTTGCAAAAATCCCAGTTGGTATTTTTTGTTTGCTGCCACATGGCATTTTGCAGCCCAAATTTGATAGTCTTATTGTGTGTTGCACAAAACAAAGCAGTAATTTACATTTGTGCTAAAAAGAATACTTCTGTAGTCAAAGAGAGAACTACAAGCAGATTCACAAGCAGTCTTAATGATGGCATTTACACTTAACAAAGTAAGTAAAAAAAATTAAATTATAGTTTGTTGAAGTCATAGTGTCTGATAAGTTAAACAAATACTTTGTATGAGCCTGGTGAATTTCAAATCCCCTCAATAATTCTGCTGCAACCTGTGTTAAATTACAAATACAAGGAATCCCTTTGTCACACTGGCTGGAGATAATGAAAACTATAGGCATGTGGAGGGAATCAGATGAGAAAAAAAATTAACATCTAGAAATTTGAGACATGTTTCAAAATTTATAATTGGATGAATAGTCATATTCTAACCAAGCTGTATAATGTCAGTCTATTTGCTTGTTCAAAAACAAAGCTTCCAAACCTACTTGTTTTTATTATTTAAATGTCCCACTAGTTAATTTAATATGTGAAGCATTAAAATATTTAGCTTTGAGTTCTATGGAAAAAAATGTCACTGTATGGAACACTGAACAAATACATTCCATGGCAATTGCTAACAATTAAAATGCTCCAAACGTCTGTATTTTTAATACTTGGAGAAAAAACATGTATCTTTAAAATGGTATTTGGGCAAATAAAACTCACAAAACTCATCATTTACTTTTTGCTACATATTTTCTGACATTGGAAAAAAAAAACCACGATGCATGAAAGGCAACCAGAATAATGGCTGTTAGACTTGATTAAATGAAATGTATTTAATCCGGTGAAAAGAAAAGTAACTATCAGAGAGATTTTGTAACAGTGTAAATGTAATACTTCAGAGTAGCCTCTCCTTGTATGAAAGGCTTTCGCTGCCATCCTTCCCACCCTGCGTGCACTATGAGGATATTAGGCACTGCACCAATACATCTGGAGGGCTATCAGCTAGGGAAGGCTTCCCAGAAGTAATCCCGGGCAAGCAAAAATTGCAATTTAAATATCAACAGCTTGCTTGAAAAAGAGCTTTCTAAAAAACGTTACGGTTAATTAAAAAGCAACTGTCCCCAAAGACCTTGAGTTTATGTTGTTGTCGGTCACAACATAAAATAAATCCAAAATTTCCAAAGCAACTCATTGCAAACCAAACTTTATATATTTTCCAATCAGTTGCTACGGTCTTCAAATGGTTGACATTTGAAGATCTCCTATGTTCCCTCAACAAAACCTCAGCCCAAACCAGCCTCAAATCTAAGTTTGAGCCGCATCCAAAGGGCAAAAGACTAAAGACACATTTAATTCTGAGGTGTTCAAGAAGCCTACAGCATGGAGGAGCAAAAATAAATAAATCATAAATCAAAATGACAGGAAATAGCAGCAAAGTAGAGACCAGACAAGTAAGCCTCTTGACACACACTGCATGGAAAAAAAATGACATCTTTCTTCACTAATAAGGCATTCCATCTGTGCTAAAGCTGAACATCTTTAACACTTAATTTGCTAGTTTGACCTTGGGAGCATGTAGCAAAAGAAATACATGTAGACAATAAAAAGTACAGCAAGAGTTAAAACTGTTCACTGCATTTAGGAGTGTCCTACTTGAACTGACCATATATCTGCAGACAACAAGCTAAGCATGAAATTGGCCTGAACCAGACACGATACATCATAGAATCACATCGTGTCCTGCGAACCCACCTTTCCCTTCAAGCATAAAAAATAAGTTCTGGAATTTGCCCTCCCTGAACCCCAGTGCCATTGGTGCTGTCTGAAGAACACTGGAATTGCACCGTCACTTTGCCACATTGGACTTCTGTCATTCCTTCTTGTCCAAAATAGCTGAGTTCATTACCATCCAAAATCACACTAGCTGTATAAAAGGTATCTGGTTCGATTTGCACTGGATACTCAAACCACACGGGGAAAGTATTGCTAGATCCATCTGAGAAATACTTGCTTAAGTTTTGTCCAAGGATAACACCTTGCCGCTTGAGTTCAATCTTAGCGCTGTATTCGGCTGATCCGCAGCTGGAGCCGTAGAGTCCAAACCCAGCAATGAAAACTCTCTTGTCAACAGCAAACTGGATGCTGTCGCATCGGCCCCTGTAGCGCCACTGGTTGCTGCGATAGGCACAAGACTGGAAGCGATGACAGCGCTGCGGGACCAGGCCTTTGCGGACATTGCTCACAAACTGCAGCTCTGGTTTTTTGGCAGCTGTGTACCAAAGGAAGATATCATTTGTTTCACTGAGGGTCAGAAGGCCGGACTGAGCAGCCCCGTTGGCGAAGTCATCCAGGGCCATGGTTGGAATGCGAATGAGATAGAGCGCCTTCCCAAGCACTTTGCGCTTATTTTCAATGCTAGGAGGCAACTCTTGCCGTTGACACTCCATTTCGGCCCAATTGAGGGCAGCTTCAAAAACCACAATCTCTTTGGCGTTCAGGGTCTCCCTTTGGAGAATGCTTTCAAGGGTTTGGAAATCAATGTCACAGAAGCCTTCCGATTTCAGAGCCAGTTCGGCCTGCGCATCAATCACCTCCCAGCAACGCTCTGTCAAGTCCGGTTCCTCAAATAAGCAGCTCTGGGAAAGTAGCACACAAGCGTTTTTTGCACTTAAGCTCGTCTCTAGGAAATTCACACAGGCCCGGGCGAGATGAGGAACAATGTACTTCTTGGCGGCATAAAGAGTTGCCAGAACCGTATCAGCAGCCAGGTCAATTTCATCACAATAAATGTATCTGTAATTAATAAATAAATATACATGTCATGCTAATATTTTAGCAGATGGGGAGGGGAAATAACATTTTTCTACATTAATGTATTCTCTCAATCACAGCTTGTACACAACATTTTTAGGATGGTGACCAAATAATACCCTCCCTATTTAACAAATTCTTTGTCCTCAAAACTTGCCTGTAAGTGTAGGATAGTTTACAATCTCTTCTGCAAATCACCAGTAGAAGGCAAACTTTAATATTTTCTTTCTTCTTCCACAATACTGTAATAAATTGTTGGGTTGCATATATTTGAGCGATGATTCTTTTATATGACTAAACTCATTTAGGCAGCAGCCATGACTTGTTTAAGCCACAGCATAATGAATTTAAATTAGTCTGAGGTTGTTTTACAAATCCCAGTTTGAGTTAAGGGGTGCTTCTCATTACATCCTTAGCCACAATGATCCTGCTTTCTTTGCACCTCATCCTCGTCCTCGCCTAGAGCCTAGGCACAGAGGAATGAAACAAATGCAGTTAGAAAACGAAACTAATCTCCTGTGTAATCTGACTGAGATAACCTAGTTTACTTGACAAGCCCATCTCCCTAGCTTTGAATGGTGGAAAATTTAAAGGGAACAGCTAATTGGTCTATTTACTGCATACATAACTTGATCCACCATAGCAGCTGTTATTTTTGGTGAAATAGTTTGGTAATGACCACAACGTTAATTTCATTGTGCCCAGTTATATCATATACAGCAGATTTTGCAGAGCATAGCTTATATACCTTACAAATGAGCACATAATTCTCAAGACAGTTAAGGACCTGTCAGATTAAAAAAAAAGAAGCCACCACATATATTTAAAAGTGTTGCATGCTTCCATGGATGCACTAGCTATTGGTAAAAAAAGAGAGGACTTATGATGATTTATACGGGAGGGTTTTTTTAATAACATGTAAGAAGTATAAATTCTGATAGGAAAATGTTTTAAGATGTTGTTCAAAAACCTCCCCATGCACGGCTTCTTTTGTATGTCAGCCAATAAAGGTGGTTGTGAGCCAACCATTTGTAGACCATAGCAACCAACTGGAAAAAGGATTCTCCCATTTAATATCACAAATATTTTGCATCAATTTGGTGAATAGTGTCATGGTTCTGTAACTTGCTCTGCGTAAATCTGCATATAATAGTCCATGGCCATAGTGATACACTATTTGACTGCCCAAAATTACAATTCTGGGTTTAAGAATTTTCCCTCCCTACTTAACAATAAACAACTATTTAAATGTTTTTTTAAAAAAAATTTTACAGTGCTGAATTTCTGTTTTTGTTAACCTTAGTTGCCAATTCCATTTGAAACCAATGCTGGAGATCCCTCTGCCATAAATCTGTCCATGTGATGCTCTTGTATATGCATATAAGCATGTATGGAAATATACCTGCCAAATCCACCTAACCTAAATAAGATAAAACATAAAATTGTATTAAATGAACTGCAAGTGGGCTTGGGGTTGCCATCTCTAAGAAGTGTGGACGTAAAGCACAACATCAAGTCACTGCATCACTTAGTGTCAATCCCGGTAATCCCAGTTCCTATCGCGACCCAAGACGTGTGGCGTTCATTAAGTGGAAAGCAGGGCTGCAGGGAGTGAGGAAGTCCTGGGAAGCCCAGTAGAGGCTAGGGGGAGGAGAAGGTTGTGGCACCATGCAAGTGAAGGAAGAAAATGGGGTAGAGGGCGCAGCACAAGTGCAGAAAGGCCATGGGATGGAAGGCGGAGTGCAGCGGAGTGCAGGAGGCAGGATGTGCAAGTATAAAAAGGCCATGGGGTAAAGAGCACGATGTAGCATGAATGCAGGAAAACCAGGGGAACTTACCAGAATGACTTGTGACTTTTCCTGCCAGTTTCCCCATTGATTTTGCTTGTGGGGAAGTCAGCAGGGAAGATTGCCAATGGTGGTTGCATGACCATGAGTCCTGCAATGTTGTAATCGTGAGCCAGGCACCAAGTCCCCAGATTGCAATCATGTGACTGCAGGAATGCAACACGTCCCCCAGAACTCGGAAGGAACAGTCATACATCCATTTTTTCAGTACTGCTGTAATTTTGAATAATCACTGAACTAATGGATGTTAGCCAAAGACTACTTATAAAAACTAGCAATTAAGCTCAATTGCCTGTCAAATAAGATGCCCCATTTCTAAAATCTGCATATATGAACACTGTCTCATGCAAACAGTTCTCGCACAGGAACATACACAAACTCCTCCAAAGAGGAAAATACAGGATGGAGATCGGGTAAAAGGAAACAGTCATTGTACTAAAAAGGGATGGAGAAAGAAAGCGACAAAGCTGGATGAAGAGAAGAAATGTGGGGAGAGGCATTCAGGCAAGGAAGGAGAGAAGCCTTGTCTAATTGTTCCAAAATGGCTAAATTTACCAAGGAAGCAACCTTTCCAAAGCAGCACTTCCAGGTGTTGTCTGCATTATTTGTACCTCATACTAATTATTTTCTTTTCAGTACATTTTTATATTCTTAATACACATCCCAATTCAAAGGTTTAATTATTTGAAAGAAAAAAAACCATAATATATCTGCTTGGATGGTACAAAATCCATCAGAGAAACATTCCACTGCCTTTTTGCTTTTGAATGGCTGCTGGACATCCCAAGGAAGGGAAGAAGGGAGGAAAATATTTTTGTTTTTACTTGCAACCAAAACCTCTGAGGACAGCACACAGATACCATCTTTGCAACCCGCTAATGGTAAAATAGCTGAATATACAGCAAAGTTATGCCAGTCCAGTTATCAGATCGATCCTGTCAAAGGACAATACGAATCAAGATTGCACTTCGTTTTGCTCATGAGAAAGACTGATTTCGCTTCTTCGATGGATCACAGTTAACAGAAAAATAGAGTTAACTTTCTTATGAATGCAACCACCATGACAGAAACAACCTAATAAAAACTGCAGCTTTAATTCCCTGCTCAACCAATTAATAAACTAAAGCTCTGGCAGCTCCATAAATTTTCCACTGTGGTGAATTAGTGTGAAAGTTACACAGGGGAGGGGAGTGGTAACAATGTTCACCACCAACAAAAGATACTTCAGCCACTCAGTCATATGGATTGTTCTGCCACAAGACAATGAAAAGACCTCTGGCTTAGGTGGCTTTAAAAAGAGGGTAAACAGGTATTCAATGCCTTTCTACATTCTTAGTTGATTTAATGGAAGCTTACTCTATTAATACTTCTGAATTCCAGGAGGAGTGAGAAGACAACAATAATTTTCTGAGTGGCTGTCAAAATTGGCAAGACACTCAATTAAATTATTCTCCTCCCCCATTAAATATTTAATCTAGTAGAGTTCTTATAGCCCTTATCAAAATTTCAGAACACTCACGGAAGAGTATTAGGCTATCTCTATCCTAACCAGCTTTTCTTCCTTGTGAATTCAAGTACTTCAGAGACCTTGTTCCATCACTGTCTACGTGCACATTTATGAGAAATGCTCCAATTTGCCCTCTCGGGGGAAGTAGCTAGACTTGAAAAGATTGGGGGGGGGGGATTCCCTAGTGAGCTGTGCTTCAAAATGCCTGCTGTAAAGTAACAGTTTTTCTGGTGCTTGTTATTTTCTGACTTCCAAATCCCAGCCATGAAGCTAAAAGGAACATGGCAATCCGTTTGGAAGATGTGAACAGAGAGAGGATTCTTCTCTTGCAACAGCTTTGATCTTAAGCTTTGCACAATCTTAACGCAATCTGTAGTTGAAGTGAAACATGGCCAAGTCGCACACATTTAAAACTGGCATTCTATACGTTCTGCAGATTACAATGGAAAATATGATTTGTAACAAGATTAATAGTTACAGAAAAAGATGGGAGAATCTGGTGTTGAAATTTGTTTGAGCACCACTGACTTCATAGTGGGGGGGAAATGAAGATAACTAGGCAACCTTTTAAACATTACTTACTATCTGGAAATGGGAAAGGCTTCAAAATGCAGCAGAAATGCCAATTTCAGGTAAGGTCTTATTAAAAAAGAGTTCTACTTGTATGCCTTTTTTTTCCCTGCTACTGGGCACTGATTGTTTATTTCTAGGGCAGTCCTAAACGCCAGTGAATACTGATGCTGCTGTGACCTATACCTAAGGCTTTTCCAGAACACAAAGTCAATGAAGTAAAAACCTCGTAAGAGAGAAATTCACCTGAGTGGAAAGTGGGGCTTTCAGTTGAACCCATGTATTCCTAAACATGGATTATTATCTGCTAAAGATGACTAGAAGGTAGTGAAGATGCCTCTTTGCTAGCTTTTGTTTGATGGGGGGAGCTCTGATATTGGGAAGTCTCCCACGGCATCCGCAGAAAGAACCCACTGTAGCAAGTGTAAGACCATGAAATGAGGCATTCTGGGCAGGGATCTAATGACGCAGTTTCTCTAAGACAGACTTGATTCAGGCCCCTCAGTTATGCCTGCAGAGAGCTGATAGTCTCCCACCGTTATTCCCAACGACTGGGAAAAACCTAGCACTTATATTTAAATATTACAATCACAATCAACTTTGAGAATTCTCAGTGTCTAGCCACATATCATGACACAATGACATCTTATTGCTGGTTATCCTACTTTGCATAACTTCATGTTCCTCACACATTGTATGCTAATTGGCAATGCACTTGATTTTAAGGAAGTTACAATGTACTTGTTTTATTACCATCCTAGCAATTTAATTAAGACCTTAACAGCTAAGGGATAGCTATCCAAAGTTGGGGGGGGAATCAACTCCCACAGTATTAAGACTTTCAGATACACCTTCTACTTGAATTTATGGAAAGCACAGTAAGAAAGCAACTTGTTTGTCTTTACATCCCACTCATCACACAAGAGAAGCAAGCCAGATGGAGTGAAGAATCGCTAAAAAAAGGGGAGAAAATGCATGTTCTATCTTCAGTTCCACATTAAAATGCCTCAAATACATTGGGAGAAACGAATTGTTGTTAACATTTTAGATTTTATGCAACCGATGGGGAAAAAATATTATCATTGTGAGAGCATTTGACAGATTTATGTAATGACAATTGCACTGAAGAGCACTATGTGCTTTACCAAAAGAAGTAGTGCAAACCTTTTCATTGTGATATATATGAAATTATTGGTTTGGATTTTTTTTTCATGTTTTTAAACTTATCACATCCCTCCTTTTGTGTATAATTTATTAACAGTTTGCCCAAAAGTTGTAAGTGACATGCAAAATGTAGTGGGAGAAAGAGAAAATACAAAATTTGCAACCTAATAAGTTTTAAAAGTAACACAGGGACCATTTTTTTGGAGCAAAGGTGAAGCTATTTCTTTTTATAACAATACACAACTTGTTAACACTGACATTTCTAGGGCAGACAAACTAATGCATTTCTAATTCATTTCCAGCAACTGAAGAAGGATGCTTGCTTACTTTAGCATAGCGAGGAAAGCGGGAGGCTCCACATCTGGGATACGGATTTCATCTTTATCCTCAGCAAGCTCCCCATAAAACATTGCGTGGAACACAGAGCTCCCAACAGCTAAGACATACTGTTTGTTTCAACAAAAGGAAAATATTAGTTCATGCTATAAAACAAATCCAAACAATTAAAAAAAAAAGATATACTAGAGTCACACGCGTATTAAAAAAGAAGGCCTCGTTGAAAGCAATGAAGGTTTTCACCTTTCAAAACTAAGTAGGGGAATGCTGGGTTTTTTCTTTTCACCTTAAGAAATAGTTCTTCAGTATATCTATGGCTTTCCTAAAAGAGCTTAAGAAATTCCTGCTGAGAGCTGAGCCAAGCAGCTGTCGCATTTTGGAGCAGGCTTCTGCATCTTGTGCCCTCCGTGTCGGGTGGACTATGACTGCACTCACCTCTAGCTCCCATTATCAATTACTATTATTAGAACTGAAGTCCATCATACAGCCCTTAGAAGGTGCTTGGATAAAGTAGGCTTATCAAACCCTACTCTTGCAGCAACCTTGGGTAAGACATATCTCAGACTATATCTTAGGATTTTTGTAAGAATTAGAATTAGTGGTTGGGGGAAAGATGGTAGCAATCTGGAAGAACATTGGGATAAGTGTCACAAATCACACGTAAAATTCTGCAACAGATCTTCTACCAGTATTGCAAAAATGTGTTAACTAGAAAGCAAATTATTAGAACATTTCACAGGCAAAGATACTGAACAGTATTTCTAAATATACCAGTTCCAGGATTCAAGCCCTCCATATGAATTTAAAGGAGGAATTGTAGATATTCCCCTCACACTCCCAGTGTCAGACCTGCTTCTGCAGCTGTTGCTTACTTTGTGTCCTGGTAATCGCTGGGTCCCACCTGGTGGCCCAACCACAAAATGAACATCTGCCATCAAGTCGTTGTTGAACATCACTGCATTTCTATAAACAGAAGCAATATATTAATTGGGAGTGTTTAGCATCAAGCTTTACCTCCCAGCAGACGCAATTCATTTTGTTGGAAGCTCTTTAAAGGATTTCATTAAAAATCAAACAGAGAAAATTAAACAGAAAGCAATGATAATTAAATATTCCAAGGTTCAGTGCTTTTAAAATAAGGATACCGTTACAAAAAAACTTTGGGGAAAACTTTCATCAAAGTGAATGTGCAAAGCTGTGCAAACATATGAAAGTTAATAACATAGAAAATAATTTTTTTATGAGTGCAAACCATTATGAGGTTAAAATGGCTTGCATGAGAATATATTTTTCATTACCAAAAGACAAGAACTGCACTGCTGGAAAGGAGAAACATTTCCCCTTTTCTCAGTTTTAATGAAAGATCCTGTGCTAAGAAAACATTTCATTACATGCTGCTCCAGAACTTGTAAACTCAAGAAAGAAACAGAGCCAAACTTCCTTACCTTTCTCGGATGGTGGGATAAAGTCCTTGCCAGTTGGGAGCTGGGATAATATTGTTGTTATTGATATTTTGCTGGTGATACTGCTGGATAGCAGTTGTGTTACTGTTAGCTGGTTTCTTTCGGGGGAAAATATCAGCAGCCATCTTTTTCTTCTTTTTAGTCTTCAAGGTAATGATTTCATAGCACACTGGAGGTAATTTGCTGCTGCTGCTGCTGCTGCCACCGTTGCCACTGCTGCTGCTGCTGCTGCTGCCACTGCTGCTGCTGCTACTACTGTTTACCTTCTTCGAGCTTTTCTTCGACCTGTTCTTAACTGTCTCTGGAAGCATCAAGAAGAAGGTGAGACATTTCATGTTCTTTCCCTTGTCATCTACCATGAGTATCCCTGTCTGTGTAAGCAGAGAGCCTTACTTGGTAAACAGAGGGCGCAGAAGGTACGAATAAAAAAGCAGCAAAGCTGAGAGATTGTGCTTCTTTTTTTTTCAGCAAGGCAAGGTGACCTTTTCCAGGGTGCTGAATAAGAGATCAGCTTTTTAAGTTTGATCCAGGGCTTGACTGGTTAAACGTCTCCCCATCGTGGTTCCCAGTTTCATTTGCTTGCGCGAGCTTTTTCCCCCCCACCCCCCAAAGGTCTGGAGGCTGAATCACCTGAAACTGCTCCTGCTGTGGCAAAGCAAGTAGAAGAGCAAAGACGTGCTGCCTGCTCGTCAGCTGCCTCAACTTGTGTGCTGAATGGATCTGCACACAGGAGGCATTAGAGCCCTGCAGATGGAGCCAGACAAGCAGCATCCTAGCCCAATCGCTGAAGTCACCAATAACAATTGGACTAGCAGCACAGTGACACCTATTGTAGATGTACAGTGCCCAAATATTAAAGAGCCAGCTATCGCAATCGCACTTCGCATTGTTTTAAAAAGTAAGAAGCGATTGCACATGCAAATGGATGTGCATTTTTACGTAAGTGCTACACTAATGAATGTGACTTAATGCCACGCATGTTAGCAGAGAGGAAAATAATTTCAGAGAACAGCAGGCTTCTGTGTTAAAAAACATCAGAAAAATATTTTCAAACAGACACAATAAGCCAAATAATGCAGTACTGATTTTTTTTCTGCATTTTTCTCCCCATAATTAAAATGATTAAATGATTTTGGTATCCATGTTAAAGCCAATTAATTTGCAGCATAAAATGGACTGATACAATTTCAACGCTCCTTCTTCAACGTAGTTTGTATTCCAGACCCTAACTGAACAGAGATGAGGTCATCACATTAGTTTTTAACTCACTATGTTTTCTGCTAACAGTCTTTGACAGACATCTCAAATCACTAAGTACAAGCTAATTAGGCAAAACTGTGCCAAATATAATTGCATAGCTTCATTGAAAAGTATCTACAAGGGTAGATCAAATACAAATAAATCAAATTATTTATATATAAATTGTTTAGAGAAAAATATTTCTGTGTGCATGCAAACAGATCATATTTTCGAACTAATATAATTACACTTTTATTGTAGAATTTGATTGCTAAAGTGGTCCAGAACACAGAGAACAGTAAAGAAATTATATAACCACTGAACAAATTACAGGATCTGCACAGATGGCCTACACTTTTAATCATATCGCTTCCCTCAAATAACAGCAGCTTAACACTATAAGATTTGAACTGCAGAAAGAGCTACTGTGAATATTCAAGCAGAGGCAGAAGGACAGCACCTCCACATATAACAGGATGTCACACAATAAGACAAGAGAAGGCCATGTGGCTAAGTTAAGGACAGATTCTGTTCCTGCAACCAAAACGAGGAGTCCTAGACACAGGAGTTGGATCCTCCTTGCAGCATATGCTTCATCGTATTTTAATTTCTCTCTGTAATGTATCACTGAATGAAGGAAGCATACAAAGAGATAACACTGTATGGAATGGAAACCAGAAGAGGGAGGGGGGAAACTAGGTGGAGGAATGCCGTTTGAACAAACAGCCCTTTGGCTTCCGTAGTGGCTAGCTGTTTTACTCTTAGCATCTTAATGCTACAGTACTTATTAACGTAAGTGTAATACCCTACATTTCAAATGTGAACCTGTACAGGTAGTCCTTGACTTACAATAGTTCATTTAGTGGCCATTCAAGGTTACAACGGCACTGAAAAAAAGTGACTTCTGACCGTTTCTCACTTAAGAGCATTGCCGCAACCCCCATGGTCATGTGATCAAAATTAAAACGCCTGGCAACGGACTCTCATTTCTGATGGTGGCAGTGCTCCCAGATCATGTGACCTTTTGCGACCTTCTGACAAGCAAAGTCAATGGGGAAGTCAGAATCACTTAACAACCATTTTATTAACTTAACAACTGCAATGATTCACTTAACATCTGTGGCCGTTGTAACTTCAAACGGTCACCTAAGTGAACTGTTGTAAGTTGAGGACTACCTGTGCATGCTGGTTGCCAGGTGCCTGAATTCTGATATGACGATGTGGCAACAGTCAGATGTGTGAAAAATGGTCATATGTCAGTGCTACTGTAACTTCAAATGATCACTAAACGAATATTTGTAAGTTGAAGACTACCTGTACCACATTCAGAACAGAATATAGACTGGACATATTTTTTTAGCAATGGATATCACTATCCAATCCATAAATCTAAAACATTCATTTATTAAATTAAATCCATTTTTAGAGTGATTGATGGAATATTAAGAAAATGTACATCTGTTGTGGTTATAATATTGTTTTTGTGGGCTGTTGTTGTGGGTAAAATAGGAGGAGGAAAGGTACGCTGAAAACTTTGTGTTATTTATAAAGTAATAAAGGTGGGATAAAAATCTAATAAATAGATTACAAATAGTGAATGGAATCGCAACAGACTCTCTCTTCTAAACTGAAATTTAATCCTGCTAAAATAAGAAATTCTTCCAGTCAGCAGAGTAACCAATCTAGAAATAATAAGAGGATGTTCCCCTCGAGAACATGGATTTTTCACTTGGATTCAGCTTTGACACTTTAGATGACACCCAATATCAAAAATACTTCAGTCATTATACATATAAGAAGGGCAGATCTTGCTATGGTAGAATATGCACAAGCTACATGTCAACATTGTACACGCTACATTGATTCATTTTAAAAATCAGTTCAATGTGTTTTTTATTGATTGGTGTTGAGTTTCAGGAACATATCAGTAACCTATCTTTTTCCAGGCCCAATTCAAAGTGCTAGTTATGACCTTTGGAACTTCACACGGTTTAAGATGAAGGATCTTGAAGTACTATTTTTCATATATGACCCTGCCAAATATTAAGAGGATTTCAAAATGATTATGCCACATGTCACAACAAAAAAGTGCTTTTTGCTGATGCTGTCAAAACTCTACAATTCCATATCTGAAAGTCTTCCTTCCTTTTTTTGAATTTCTGCCATCACAGGCTTATGATCTTTCTGTTCAGAATTTATTTTCTTTTGGAAGCAGGGAGTGAATATTTTTAAAATAGATTTGTTTTCCCGTTAATATAATATTTAAGATTCACCAAGTGTACTCTATTGATCGCCCTATTTTTTTTCAATCATTTAACTTCAACTACTTTCAGAACTTTCATTTGACATATATTAGGCTATGTTAAAAAGATGATGTATTTCTAAAAGGCTTTGCATACTAATTGTAAAATAACTTTCTCCTGATTTCTCTAATCAATATCTTTTGATGTGTTTCTACTCTTTATATGTTCCCAACCAGCCTGGATGCTTTTTTCTTAATTCTGTATTTCAGTCTGACATCTAAAATAACCTCAGTCTATATGTTAGGTTATAGTTCCCTCTATGCATCCTGACTTTTTATCCATCATTTTTTTGTATTAGTTCCCACACTATTCCCTTTCTTCTGAACAGGTCCACGTAATTGTCTGGGGTGCCTCCTTTAGAAATATCCATGTCACACTTGGAAAACTTGGGTGACACAAATATGAAACTTTCAGAATTGAAACTGATCGTAGACTAATTAACTTACAATGATTCTCTTCCACAAGACAGCGCCAACTGGAATAGAATAATATTTTTAAGTCTCATTATTATGCTGCATGATTCTACCAGAATAAGAATGTACTTATTCTTTCCATTGTGTATTTGACAAAATTGCCAGGAAACACTTATAGTGCTAGTTTTATGCATAATTTGTTTCCTGACAATACAATTAAGGGGAAAGACAACTATTAATTTCAGAAACAAATACTGGAACAAACAGATTTCGTCTATGTAACTTGAGAATTATTTTCATTAAAGTCCATAGACATTTTAAAACAGCAGTAGTCATCTCTTTCACTTCAGGTGTTTTAAGATCCAGCCAATTCTATGGAATTAGCTTCTCAGTAGGTGTACATAGGAGAGCACCATTAGAGAAAAGAGTTATTTTTCAAACCATTACACTAGACTGTAATTCAATTGAATTTATCATATTCAAAATAATATCCATATATTATTTTAGGAAAAGACTATTCAGAAATACTACCACTAATTATACATAATTTACATCTTAACTGATGCAAAATATCAATTAAATTTGAAAGGCTCCTTATGACAATAAAGATACCTAAAATCCTTGACCTATGGCCATTTATTTAGTGGATGTTCAAAATTATGACACCACTGAAAAAAGCAACTTACATCACTTTTAAGTCCTGACTTAAGATGTGCCTTAAGCCTTTGAGCTTATGACCGTTGCAGCATCGTGTGATTGCAATCTGGGTACTTTTCAACAGGCTCACACTTATGACAGTTGCAGCATCCCGCAGCAATGTGATCACCATTTGCCGATTTCCAACATGCAAAGCTAGCAAGTGGTCACAAGTTGTAGTTGCACGACGTCTTGTTTAACAACTGTGGGTGATTCACTTAACGATGGTGGCAAAAAGATTGTAAAATCAGGTATGGTCACATGATGCCTCACTTAATGACTGCTTAACAATCGGATGTTGAGGACCATCTGAATAAGTGTAATACATGCACAATATTGAAATTAAGCATGGGAAGTCTTATTCTGTTGTGAGCCTAATTAGGTTCGGTGAGGGTAATAGTAGTAAAGAACTGCATATAGCTCAAGCTAGTGGTAGCAATGAGTGGGATAATCTTTCAAAAATCTGCAAAATACTACCATGCTTTGCCTTTATAGGCCGCTTTTATACATAGCCCCTGCCACTATTATTTTCATCAATAACATCAAAATGTTATTGTTATTTCCAACAGAATGCTGCAATGTAACAGAATCCAGATACGGATGAGAAAAAGGAATTGTATTATTTATTAAGATGTACATTTATACAGAACTATTTAGAAATTAATCACAAAATTGCCAGTGCTAATTTTAAGTTTCAGGCAATACTTA